AAAATAGCAGAGGACCTAGGACAGATCCTTGTGGCACTCCATATACAGTATGATGGCCATTTGTCTACATATGATTACAACTACATAGATCCTTCACAGAACATCGCACAGGGGAATGTGATTTTATTTCTTTTTTTTCCTCTTTGTTTGTTTGTTTGTTTCATTAACTGTCAGCGATTCTTTATCAGTTGGCATAAATTATATCCAGTATCCTTTGCCTCAATGTCTAATACATTTTTATTTTTTAAAGTTTTTGTAATTGCAGGTTGACGAGATAGAACATGATGGCCTCGAGTGTACGTTTTATTTGCATATTAGATCAGACATTTTTCTTTGTACTCTTTGGGCTCAATATTCCACAAATGTACTTAACACAGCTTTTAATTATAGCGTGATATCATCATAATTACACTTTACACTACATAAAAGCCTGGATTCCACTAAACGAGGTGTCTTACGCCAGTATTTTATTCCTCTGTGTTGCAGATCCAGACTCTGAGATAAATGTGATGGAGGCAAATGAGAGATTTATGGAGCAGAGTGAGGAACTGTATGGGTTGTTTCTTCCAGCCCCCTGAGTCATGGGACGGGGTCACCTGTAGCGTGACATGTTACCTGCCCGAGACAATTTATCAGTATGAGGAGATGGACTGAGGAAACGTGTTCTCGTTTGTTCATATTTATTATTTGTTTATATTACAAAGAACCCATTATTAATGTAACTGAGGGTGAATTAAAAACAGTAACATTAGTTGATTTTTTTTTAAGAACACAGCTTATGCAGTAAATGTATGTGATTTGTAGATGTGTATAAATTAAATGAACTCAGGTTTGTTTGATGGGAAAAGTGTATAGTACATCATAAGTTTAGTAAAATAAATAACGACAGTTCTGGTTTAAACAGCAATGTCTTGTTTTTCAGAAAAAAAGAAAATGTAAAAATTAAAGCCTACGTATTTTTATCCTTATACATCCAACAAATCCAAATAAGATAAACAGCCAAATTAAACAAAAGTAATAAAATAAAAATATTTTCCATTGACCAAAAATATTTTAAGCCTTACACGCTTTTATTCATGTAGCTTTCTACATTCAACAAATCCAAATAAAATAAACATCTAAATAAAATAAAATGTGTAAAAAAATAAAGATTAAAACATTTTAAAGCATTGCATATTTTTATCCATTTAGCTTTGTACATCCAACGACTCCAAATGAAGTAAACATAGAAAATTAATAACGTTAACTTACAAAATAAATAAATAAATAAAAACGTAGGAAAAAAACAAATAGGTAAGTGGATTGCAACAGGTTTAATTAAATAAAAATTAATATTATGTTAATTTTCCT